ACATGATATCCAGGGTAAATTGTTTGTGAAAGAAGCAAAAAAGAAACGTAACGACCAAGCAATGATAACATTATAGTAAAAATCAACGTAAAACGCTATCAGGACAACAGCGTAACCAATGCCTGAAATGAGTTTTTAATGTTTTTTATTGAAAAACATCTTTGAAATAAATATAATAATAAATTACCTTTAAATAATGGTACTAAACGGCCCCAACAGGTAATGGCACCTTTACGATTATGTTGACCCAAAGCAAGTTCCATATAGAAAAGCGGAATACCACCGACCAATAACATGATACAATAGGGTACGAGGAACGCGCCTAAAATAAAGCCAAACAAAGTTCCTTTAAATTTATATCGATTGCCTAAGAAATGCTTATAATTTATTACTCTTTTGTATTTTCGTCGTTTGCCTTATGAAATAATTATCGTTTCATAGATAATTACATTAATATGTAATATTAGATAGAATGATGATAGAAAAGGAAAAAAAAGGCAGCTAACCAAGTTTTAGTTTATGTTACGTAAGTAATAGAGAAATAATGAAAAAAATATTGACCACTTATGGACATTTCATCAATCCTCTAATCGAACGTTAAATGCGCCCTAGTTATTTACGATGCGGAATCGTCTTAACCAAGTCACGTTTACAAAGCCAGTTTGCCTAGGAGAACAAACCAGGATTCCCATCGACGTAAATATGTGCAATTATTTAGAAGGTGCTGCCAAATAACATGAAAATATATATGTCATTCGATGTATATGATGATAAATCCTCATTATCTCGCAACGATTCGGCCTAAAAGGAATATGATTACTTTTGCCATAAAATAACAAATGTCGTATCTTCATACCCTCAAGAAGATTTACTACTCAACAGAATTCTTATATCTTTTATCTGGAGGGATTTATAAAATAGGCCTACCCGGTCCGTCCCGGAAAAAATTTTGAGTCATTGTCTCATGTCAGTTTTCACTATAAACTGTTAAAAATAAAAGCTTAGTTTTCTGTCTAAAGCGTGGGAAGAAGACTAAGAGACTGTCCTATCCTATTCAAATTTTCCACAATGCATACTGAAATTATATGTTTTTAGAACAATTTCGTACAACAAAATGCGATTTTGTGCAGTACAAGCCTGTAAGTATGGCAAACAATAGAAAATTTGTTGTAAAATATTCCAATAATTACAGTATCGGCTCACAATTTCATAACGTACTTTACCAGTAAGTACTCTTAAGAAAATTTCATATACTTTTTAGAATGTATTCCGCTGCACTTGAAACTCTAGAGGCAAACTTTTTCATAGGCGGATACGGTTTCTTAAAGAGTGGCATTCGGATATGGTTCGCCGAAAACATAGTTATATGCGATAATTTTCTCAGTTTGATTGGACAAGACTTGGTCAATTGTAAAGATATGCGAGTTGGGCAACTTGTTGTTGAAAAATATTAAATTTCGCAAATTTTTGCAATATATTGGCCTGTTCAAGCTAGATCGGAGGAGGAGGTGGTTAGAAACACTGACCGATCAAAAAATACAAGTTAATGGCTTGCGCTCTTGGGCCTTGGAACACTAAAATATTTGGACAACTGGACGGACATGCTTAAATTGATTGAGTAAGTGATTCTGAATTGATTGACAAGAGGGCTCTACTTCAAATTTTTCTGGACACAAGCACGCAACTACCACAAGAGTACAAAAATATATAATAACTAAAATATTATAAAGTGCTCGACATGAACAACTACTATAACACTCTTGGCATAATCTCTGTGGTGTGCATAGAAATAATCATGGAGAACTAACACGCCCCTCCTTAAGCCTTCTCAACTTTTATAAGTAACGAACAGTGTCATTGAGTTGGATACGTTCACTCATTGTCTGTATGATGCGTTCATTTCGAAAGTGATATAAGTTAATTTTTTTAAAAGGATCAAGTTAAGTATTTTCATATTTACGAAGATTTTCTCAAAACAAAAGATGAGTAATAGATAAAAAGATAAATGTACATATTTTGAAATCAACTTAAGGCCCAAATGAGATTTTTAGAACGATTATTATGATGTACAGTGCAATGTAATTCTATTAGCTTGGAAGGAAAATCACAAACAGAGATGAAAAATAAGTTGATTTTAAATGAAATGAATTCGAGTTTTAGAAATTTAAATTAAAGAAACGTAAAAAGTCTTAATGGAGGAAACTTAAATTTTGATGCAAACTTATCTCATGCGATTTTTGAAAACTGAGCTAGCAATAAATTTACTATCGAGTAATGACCTGCCATGTTTAAAGATTCTTCATTCGAATCTTAATTTTCCCGCATTCTGTCAAAGCCACTTTACGTGCTGCGTAATGATTGAGCAAATGGCAAATAAAAAATTATTAATTCATAACTAAAACCAAAGATTTAGTCGAGACTCTTTTAATTTTCATCATAGGCTTTGCATTTCTTGGCAGAAGTGATAGTTTTTTCCGAATCATTCTCAGTCTTATATCTGCTTAGCGTTTTCTCTACGAAGCTACAAAACAAACATTTTTATTTGGAAATATTAGATGAATATAAAAGATTTCCAAACGGTTCATTTAGTGTATTACAGACATTAGACAAGTCAAAGGTTAGGATGTAGTGCTTGTTTTCACGCAGGCCCTAATTGCAGAGTTACCATGCAAGCATAAATTACGTAGGGAAGTGAACTCTTTTCCACTTGTTTATAGCATCTATTACAAAGGCAGAGAGACATGCCTAAATTTGGTACTGGTGGAATATATGTATACTATATAACTAAACATGCACTCACCCTTCGTTGGTGGATATAAAAAGAAAATAATTCGTGTCAAAAGATTTTATTAAAAGAAGAAAATTATTAACACACACACACACACACATACATCCACCCATAATTCACATTTGTTTGTGGATTACATTTTTTGTGCAGTTAGCTGCTGTTGCTGACTGAGTTCTTGCTCTGCAGTTTCTTGCAGCATTAAATACTTTTACTGCTTTTGTCGACCACAGGGCCAGCAGACATACTTGCCTCACACGTCTCATCTGGCTTGTACAACCTGGCACGTTTGGTAATTTCCATAAATATTGCCATGCAACTCAGGGTATTTACAATCTTTCTTTCATCCTCTAGGTGCTCCCATATTCAACGTTGAAGCTTTTCCTTTTTATAACGCTTATCTTCTTGAGCAATTCTCACAATAAAACTCTAAGCTATGAATCTGAGACTAACAAATTTTTCTTTATAGACAACAATCGCTTGAAGTTCAATGAAAGTCATTAATTTCTGGACTTGTTTTCTACACTTCCAGGCTTGGTTTGTTCGTATCTGTACGCAACTACTGCTTAAAGTCTTAAAAAATGAAATATTTTTAATATATATTTTTCTTTTCTAGTTCTGTTTTTACACTCCCCTCCTGTTACTTGCCATTAGTCTGTCTCTCTTCTCGAATTTTATATTAAGCACACTGAAAATAATTAATTAATTAATTATTCTTAAAGCGGCACAATACATGCGAAACAAATGAGAACGAATATATGCTTACTCTCAAAGCGGCACAATACATGCAAAACAATTGAGAACGAATATATGCTTATTCTCAAAGCGGCACAATACATGCAAAACAATTGAGAACGAATATAAGCTTATTCTCAAAGCGGCACAATACATGCAAAACAAATGAGAACGAATATATGCTTATTCTCAAAGCGGCACAATACATGCACAACAGTAAGAGAATAAGCGTATATATTCTCAATAATTCGAAAAATGAGAGAATAAGCGTCCAATTTGTTTACATTTGTTGAATAATTGTTCATATTTACATGCTTTTCATCCTTGGTCCACGATAACTGAATTTTAAACTTAATAACCATCTTTTTATACTCCACATCTTCTGCTATTATACAGCAGCATAAAAATCTACAAAAGTTAGAAAAAGAATCCAAAGAAACTTTTTGGTCTACCCGAGAAATTGCTAAGTTCGCACGCCAATATGCGTACACGCCAATCATTAAGAGTTTGCCTTCAACAGTAGGGTCGAAACGGGAAGGGTCATGCCAATTCTCAGCGTTCGTACAAAGCGAACTAAAACGCAAAACTGACAATTTACCCTTTCTACTAACATATAAAAAACCTTTCGTCCCGTGCACCCATTCCCTGGTTAATTAATTAGGACTATGGAAAAAAAATGTCCCGACAAATTGACAGTGACGGCATCCCTTAACGGACTTTTTAAACTACGTCTCACTTGCGTGTTTGGTTCGAACGGAGATACGCACTAACTGGGTTATATATGTTCAAAAAATTTATTAGAACCGGAAATTTTTTTTCAAGCTATACCTTTTTACGAATTTGCAAACGTTGTACTATTAATTTCTAAAGTAGCTTAAGCTTAACCAACAAGCAGATACTACAACGTATTCTAAATCCCCTTAATAAAGATTACTAAGCTTGTCTATCGTGCACCGATAAAAGTACAAACACTATATGCAACTATTTTTTTTAGTCATTAATAATTTCAAATGTATTCTGACTTAACCCACTTTGAGATTAAACGGTGCATTTTTATGAAAAGACAAGTCATGATATTGCCGTGACATGATAATTTCCTACAACTTCCGTTAAAAATAGAGGGAAAAAAAACCTTTTAACGTACTTCATATTTATTGCATGAAGCCTTCCCTTAGATTGAATTTCCATTTAACAGACCCTCTCTTCGTTTCATTCGCTTCCATTGTTCATATTAAATGTCCTTTAAAAAGAATTATTTTATATATCAACAGAATGTAAATCTAATTGTTTAAAAATACAATTTTTTTTTTCTTTTTTGTATACGTACGTATGCACGTATAAGTGTGCTCTTCAATAAATTTCTCAACTATCTACACAGCGGTCTATGCAAAAATTGTTGCCTTCATAATGGAGAGTAAATGTATATATATATATGTGTGTGTTTGTGTTTGTGTAAATAGCTAAAGTGGCCCTTTTTCAAAATAAGAAAACAACAACAACAATAAATGTGTCAATATCATTAGCATGTGCATGACACCAGACGATGTTAGCTGCTTTCGAAAGAGGGCAGATGACAAGCATCGTCCCATTTCAATAAATCCATTCTTTCTCGTGTCAATTGTAAAGCTGTTGTTCAAGTAAAGCACAGAAAATAGTCTATGACACAGACACATTTAAAAAAGCATTTCAAAGGCTTTGATATTTTTTTTTTTTTACTTTTTATCATAAGGTGCAGAGTGGCGGTAATAGCCCAATATAATTGTTGTTGTTATTAAGTGCACATAAACACCTATATGTGTATATACGAGTGCACGTATATTAAGTTATATTGTCAATAAAGCTTTTAAATAGTTAGTGAATGGTGAATAAATGGAAGTGAATGGCAGATGTAATAAACACGTCTATGGATGTACTCATGTCGTCATATGTATTGATTGAGTTCGCATGTATGTGAAATACTAAAGAATATCCTTACATTGAGACTCTTTTTCTTTTAAATAATTATTTACACAATGACGTCATAAAAGTATTATTTTAATTTATTTCATAGCTAGACTTAAGTTACAAAGCATTTAAGAAGTGCTGCAGGCATTTATTAAATGAGCATAAATTTGAGACAATTTTTCTTAAGAAAAAGACAAACCTCTGATAAAAATTTGTTTCAAAAGTATTTTCTTTTCTTTAACAAGGAAAATTTTTCAATAAAAGTTTTTAAAAAAACATTTGAGAATACCTTGGAGAGAATCTCTTCTGAAAACTTGCACCTGTAAGAATATACAATCTAGAATGTGAAGGAGGACTGTTCCGACCATTTGCTCCCGCAAGTTCACGCTTAGTAAAATGTTTATATACCTCACACCACGTGCGATAGAAGGGTATATTAAGCTTGCACGAACGTATGCAATGCCCAGAAGGACTTGAGATAGATCAACTTTGTCTTGTAACAATCTACTTAGAATCAGGGTCCAAATCTGTCTCCCCTTCTGTCCATCTGCTCCAATTATATTTTTATATTCAATCTATAAGTCACAATTTTTGAATATATTTTGATGAAATTTCTTTAACAGGGCTAAAAAAGGTTAATTTTTAGGGGCCAATTAGGGAAACATAGCTTGCGACCTGAAATCGTCAGCACCGACCACATGAATACTTTTCTAAAGGTCTCCTTGAATAACATGTAATTATTATCAAAATTATCTCAATAGAAAGGTTTTATGGCGACTTTCCTGAGAAAATTAGGCAGACGTGCGTTCATGGAATGAATTTCCAATTGATTGGACTCAATAATTTTTAGTCAATCTATTGAAAATTGTTGGTTTGAGGCCGTGCTCAACTATATCGGTTTCATTCGTTTATTTTATGGAATTTTTGACATCTATTTTTGCATGTAACGAATGGCACGGATAGAGTCAATCCTTCAACGAGGCATACATTCTTACACTTAATCTCAGAAAATGTTATAAATTCGATATGGAGCTTCTTGGATCGTTAAAATGTCACTGAATAAAATCTGTATCTGATCAACTAAACTTTGGCTTTTGCATGATTCGTGAAAAGAATTCCAAAAGAAATTCATCATTGTTCTTGACTGGAGTCATATTAGCAGTGTTCCCGCGACTGTTACTCAAAGGAAAAAAAATGCTAAGGCGAAGCTTACAAACCAGAACTGATTAACCCATAATAAAATCTTCCAATACCTATGACTATGGACACAGTCTCTTCAAGACTGAAACCATTTTCGTGTAAAGCCACCAAGCCATCGTTGTAAAGGCGATAATAATGCATAGTAAAAGAGAAAATAATTTGCCAACGCATACACACACACACTAAGCTCTCAATGTGAGGCTAATAATAATGTTAAGTAAAATAATTTGCCAACACACGCACGCACACACACACACACGCCATGCTGTCGTTGTGAAGCTGATAATGATGTTTAGTAAAAGAGAAAATAATTTACCCACACGAGCACACATACACACACACTCTGCGTCCATTAAGTATTATTAAAGTATTTTCTATTAAAATAGAGTCTTAAGAAAATCATAAAAACTCAAATGGCAACCAATTCAGATAAATATTTCTTTAAATCGCATATTGCTTTGTTCGTTGCTTCTTTTCTCTCAGCAGAACGAACGCACTTCAGAAGTATAATAAAATTCTACAAGAAAAAAATGATAAATCTCTTAACATAAACTCACGCAGGATTAAATAGCTGCCTGTTGCTTCAATTCAAGAAAAAAAATGGTCGTACATACATACATTGAAATCATAGCCAATTATATTAAGAATTTTGCTTTTGCTTTTACTTTAAGGAAAAGTTTTTCCTCTTTTTTTTCCGTTTTTTTTTTCTTTTTTTTCTTAACACAATATAAAAGTCATAAAGTTCTTACAGTCAACTTGAACTGAAGTAGTAGTAAAAGAAGAAATTTTTAAGCGTTTCTATGGTTTTATATGTGTATATATATGTGTACGCGTTTTATGAATTGAAAACCATATCCCGTTAAATGCGATTATGATTATGATTATGATGATGACTACGAATGTGACTGAAATGCTATTTTACTTGAGTCACACAGATTTAGTTGTCATATTGAAATACTGACTTAACTCTATATAGAGGGCGTTATTATGACAAATATGTTCTAAAGCAATCAACTAACCGTACGCTCGCTTCACTCTACAGTAGGGGTGCTCAACTTGCTTTCGCCTGCACTTACTTATAATAAATAGAAAGAGAAAGAGAAGGCAAAAAAGAAAGAAATGAAAAAAGGGAGGAAACAGTCCTTTAACCAAGTTTGAGTTTCAAGCAATTTATGAGCTTTTTTTGTGTGTGTGTGTGTGTGTGTGTGTGTGTGTGTAAATAAATTGTGAAGTATATGCACGCACTGACACTCACACTTAAACTATCACGCAACACTTTGTGTCCCCTATAGGCAAATTATATATGATATAACACATTACTAATTGTGCTCATTGAACCATTAAGACGACAAGTACCATTCTTTGCCGTGTCAGAGTGAGAAAAATGACTTTAACTTTAATTATTGTTTTTTGTTTTTTTTTTTTTTTTGCATTCTTCAAAAGGTGAAAAGAAAAGGTTGTACTTACCACCGCCATTTTTGTAGCACAAATAAGGAAATCTCCAAACGTTTGCTAAATCGACAGCGAAACCAATAACGGATAATAGAAAATCGACTTTGCCGCCCCATGTTTCACGTTGATCGCCACTATCCCCAGAATCACGTGATGTTGATGTCTTTATTACTTGTACGGTCGGTGACATCGCCAAAGCGATGTCGTTCTCTTCGTCACACTCTAAATCTTTTCAAACAAGAATAAAAAGAAGAATAACTCAAGTTTAAAATCTCACGATATAATAAATTTTAATTTCTTTTCTTTTTTTTCCTTTTCTTTTCTTTTCTTTTCTTTTCTCCTTCTCGTGTTACATAATATGTCATAATTTTAATGAAAGCATTAAGTAAATGCTTAAGTTTATGTGCACAGATTAATACTCATTCCACGCGTACCATTGATCTTAATTGCTTAATTAGTTGAGAGCACACATTTCATGTGCGGCTTATTACGGTATATAGGGTAGTAAAACTATATAAAAAAGAAAATCTTTTTTTTTTTTCATTTACGTGTCTCGCACCAGAGGAAGGAGCTAAGCTGATATTATAACTATTTTAATAGCGAAGGCCGTACTACGTCCGGTGCTTGCATGTATTTTGATCGTATTTTCACTTGAGCAAGGCATTTACTGAGAAAAATTAGTATAATACGTATTAATCAAAATATTTCCCATCATTTTCTACAACGTGTTTCCATCTTTCTAGCAACATGGCAGTACCATCTCAAAAGAATGGTACCGCTTTGGCAGCGAGCCAATCATCGACCCATTTTCGCAGGCCTTCATCATCGGGTGATCGAAAAGCGCAATGTCCGCTGAATATGCTGGGCACGGCAGAACTTCCCGTTCGAGCTGCAACCACGTAGCCGTAACAACTCTTGCAACTTTTAGCCGAGCGTTGTCATGCAAGAGGAGGACTGTAAGTCTATTAGCCGCTATTGCCGGTCTTTTTTGCAACGATATGTTGTTCAATTGTTGTCAGTAGACACGCGCAGTAAGGGTTTTATTCGATGTTAGCGACACTCCTTGCTTGCTCTCACCATGCTCCCACATATGAAACTCTATGGCCATTAAAAATCCTGCTTCAGTGTCGATATGGATGGCTTTCCTGCACTGTTTGCGCTTGGGATTATCGTAATAGATCCACTTGTCTTCGCATAAAAATCTTCTTTCTTTGAGTGGCAAGCAACGAAATCGCGACGTTGAAACGTTTCGAAATGGCGTCTTCAGTTAACTTGTATGGTGTGGTATTTTCCCTCCTCATGGATCGTTCGCGTATGAACGTAAACATCTAGGAGCAGTTAATTCATCAATTGCTAAGCTTTTCGAAAGTTGTTTAAGAGTTTGAACTGGGTCTCTCTCCAATCCACCAGCCTTGCAATTGATGGTCTTCAAACTTTTTTGGTTCTCCAGGCCGTTCTTTGTCATCAACATCAAAAGTTTTAAATCGTTGAGCAGCACCATAAACTTCTACGTGTGTTTATTGGGCTTCGGCATCAGATTTCTCCCAATCAAACAACAAACATAATAAACATCGAATACGGAATTTTGAGCTTTCCATGATTAGCGTCTGTATATACTGAATGACTCGATAAGAGATATGGCTGGCCAATATACATACAAACACCTCTAGGTATATGATTAATGAAAAGCTTGATATTTCATTTATGATGATTTAGTTTTTGTTTTTCATTCTTTGGAATATCCAAAGCATCTGTGGCGGCAAAGATACAGAATCAATTTGAACAAAAATTCGTAAATTTTCAAAATATTTTTTCTAAAAATTAAAGAATTAAATTGAGTTGTATAACTGCGTTGGTGGATACTATTTTTCAAGCTGGGCTTAAATTTTTCAAAGCTTTTTGTTTGTTCTTAAAAATATTGCAATCGGATGTCTACAGTTCAGATATCAATTCAAAGAAGAAATGCAGCTATGTTCTATTGATATCACCATAATTTACAATAACAGAAATGTTCATATGTGATTTTGATCGAATTTCTCTTTATACACAACAAGCTTCTGTTGAAAATTACAATCACCTTTAGGTTTGACGTTTGATTGCAGAGCGAGAGCAAGATCATAAGTCCGACTAGATAAAAAGTTCGTAGCGTTTTTTTCAATGAACTTAAAATGAAATTTTGGACAGTCCCTCAAACGTCTGCGTTCTTTGGAGTATGCCACTGTATCAAACTTTAGGCCAATTTCCGATATAGAACTTGAATGAGGAAAAATTTAAGACAAACCGTAATCTAAGAAATAGGAAAAGAACAATGCTATCTTCTACGTAATGCTCTTTCTTCTCCAGTTTTTCGGTTGTGAAACAGGCATTGCAAAATAGAAAAAGTTTTCTCCCCTAAAGAAAACACAATTTCTCTCTTTCTATTTATCTCTTTGTCTTCCTCCTTCTTTCACCTGTAACAGCTGCTTATCAATACCACTGGTATGTAAGTAGAGAGCACACACATCAATAAATGCTAATAATATTCATATCCGTGTTACACGTTTTTGTATCCCATTAGCACCGTGTATATTATATTTTTACTGTTGTATGCAACATGCAGAAGGACTTAAGCTCAATCCACTTTATATTATATCGGTTGATTCAGAATCATTTTCTAAATCGATTTAAGCTGGTCTATCCGTCTGTCGGTCAATCAGGCTTTCTCATGCGCGAATGTTTTCGTTATATTCACTACCTACAGATAGTAATTTCTGCGATATATTATCAAAATTTAATACACCGACGTTTTTACCCTTCGATTATGTCGCACCACTTCTACGGCATCTCTGTCTGGCTGGCATGCCAAGCAAGTACGGCAAAAACAAATGTTTGGTATTTTATCCCGAAACCAAATAAGAGTAGGGTGTTTGGCGAGCGGTCTTTCCTGGCCATAAAGTTTATTACCTGCTTTTACATAGATTAATTGGAAATTTGCAACCGGCAAAACAAAAACAGAAAATAAACAACAAATCATTTGTAATTAACATAATCTCAGCTTTGTTTGTACAATTTTAAGTTTAAGTTAAATTTATTTTACGCATTATTATCAACGATAGAGAGGTAATATTCTACCTTGATCAAATTTTTCTTGTCACATTTTGTACCGCATTCCTTTTTTACACAATTTGGCAGCACTTTATATGATAGGTAATTACACAAGGAGAAAAAAAATCATATTCAGATATTCATTCTGAACCAGTCTCAGCCTGTCAGTCCATATGTCCGTCTTGTTATCTTGTATTTAATATACAGGCTGCAAGTGTTAGGATATTTTGATGGAATTCGGTGCACTGACGTGTTGTAATCCAAGGGTGAATGCTATTCAAAATGGTTCAATTGAACCCCCATCTTCTTCTGCTTTCCATACAACGGCTTAGTTTTGAAAAGTTTAACGTGTAAATAGCTTTAGCTTAGTGTAGGGTGTTTAAACACTATGGTGTTTATTCTTATTTGGTGTAGATGGGACGGCAAATCCTCCTTGAAACCAATTATGTTGTAGTTTAGCCTCCCAGGCGAAATATCTGTTCAAAGGAAAACAAGTAGTTCTCTCCCAATGTTAAATAACAAATAGGTGTTTGTAACCATGACAACCGACGCCCGTAACCGCAAACGCAGTTGGCAAAAGAAACTATTAATAGACTATTGGTCTGTGGAGTGTTAACATTCTAAGCGAGTGTTACGAAACAGTTGCCAGGAGACATACGGACAGACAGACATTATTGAATAGGTTCTCCTAATTGCGGTGATCGAGAATGTAAAAGCTTTTTAACTATGCCTCGATTTACAAAAAGTTGTCATATCTAATGTGTCTCCTGCGTTGAATTCGCAAAACACTTTTAAGCGAATTCATGCGCACTATTTAAATATCAATAAATTTCATTTTATTGCATTGCTAATTACAATCGTTAGCAACCTTAAAAAAAAGTACGTCAATTACGTAACCGAAACCGGTTTTAAATAATTCACCAAAATTCACTTAAAATAGAAATATAAGCATAATAATATATTTTTATATTAAAGTATTTTAGATTAGTTTCACACATGCTTTTTTTGCTTTCGAGATACTTTTACCAATATTTTTCTAAAACGACCTCCAAAGATTTATTTAATGTTTTCAAACAAATTTACGGATATACTTAACAATTTGTACATTGAACGAATTGCAGTAATATCATCACTGCGTTTGTAACGTTTACAAGCACGCATCACGGAAGATATCGTAAAATACTCAATGCAAGCAACATTGTAGCCTAGACAACACCACCGACTTATTTAATCGTACACTTTACCTTTAATAATTGCTACTAATTAAGCGGCAAAGACGATTTCTACCACTTGTACTAAGTCTGTGTGGTTGGACGCAACACCCAAAAAAACTTGGAATGCCGATATTTGCCCATCTGTCCGTCTGTCCATCTGAGATCTGTCCATCAGATATTCTGATGAAATTTGGTTCACTGACGCACGGACGAACTATTGTTTACATGAATAACTGTATTAAGTGGAGTTGTGCAAGGTAGTTAATGACGGGCCGCGGTCCATCACAATTTTTTTTGTCCAATCCAGTTTCACTTCAACTTAGTTTATTGGCTTAACAGTTGTTTTGAAACTTATAGAAGACGTGGGAAAAACGCCTAAATCTAAAAGATATCTTCTCGAGCTAGTACTAAGCATGTCAAAGGAAGCTGCTGGGAAGTTACAGCCAAACATCTTAACTGTTTATTTCTAAGTTTTCTAGTCCAATAACAAACGTCCCCAAAAAGTGTTTATTTTCAGCTGAAACCATTTTTAAACAGCAACAACTTTAGACAACCATTACATGGATAGGTATCTGCGAGCGATTCGAAGACAGTCAACACCTCTGCCACGAAATTAAAAGTTTTTGTTGAAGGCCTCAACATTAGTTACACACTCAGCTATTGAATTATACTTTTTTTCGCCCATCATTTGGCAAAACAGTGTACCGTGTATGACTCTGTGCAGCACAAGTACAACCTTCTACCATAAATTCTTTAAGGCTGTAGAATAAGAGAGTACATTTAAACAAGTTAGGATGGTTTGATCACCATGAGAGTGAGAACCAATGAAAACACATACAAAACGTTAATTGGGAATTGCAAAATTTTAAATGCGCCTTTCTCGGAGCAAGATCTTTCAAAACCGCCTATAAAATAATTTTTACAATCTTCATTCCATTCACGTATACTTTTCAGTACAAAAAAACGTTACCTAGAGAATCGAGTAAAAACGCTATTGTGGGCAACGGTCCATCATTAAATACCGTCCTACACTTGTTTATATAACTACTTTTCGAAAGCGTGCGTGGTACGGACAGTAATCGGAAAAATGCTCCGGTCGGAACTATTTCCGACCAATGAGTTAAACGGGAAAAAACAAAATGGATAAAAGTACGCAGATAAGCTCAAATAGATAGAGAAAGCAATTCTGAATCGATAGGTATAAAGGAAGATGGGTCTATCTCAGCTTTTTCTGGGTATAGCATACATCTGCACAAAGCTAGGGTACCTTTGCAACACTTTCGTACTTTGTGTTGTATGGTGTAAACACTGCCTTTTCTCGGTTAAAAATTTGACTTTTTTATACAGTTATTGTTGTTACTGCAACTTAGAACCTCTGGAACTAAAACGCGGGATGAGCACTAGGAACCAAAACTATCGATTTTTCTAAAAGATCCTACGTATTTCTCTAGCTATAGACGTGTACATTAAATGCAATCTTTTGCTTCTTCTTGGATTCATACTTGCGCCAATTATTCTCTAGGCCACTGAGTCCTTTAAGCTGAACATGTCTCAAGGAGATGAGTGCTGTTTTGTTTTTTTTTTTTCAAAAAGAACCTAAATACCTTCTTAATTATTCCCTCGAACATTATTGTCCTACGATCTTCTTTCTCATGGTCAAAAGAAAAGCCTTTTTTTCAGATTACTACAGTGGTTTGGCTCTTTAAATTATAAATGCATTCGATCCTCGGTTGATATTTAGCAGAAGACTGACAATCGATTAGGTTTTATACAGAGAAGCCTTTTTTTTAGGTTACTACTAGGTGGTTAGGCTCCTTAAGTTATGAGTACATTCGATCATCGCTTGATATTTGGCATAAGACTGACAATCGATTAGGTTACATTCATCTTTCCTATCCCTCTAACTATAATATTAATGCATGCAGCAACAAAATAAGCGCAAGATCGGACAAACAAAGTCTTAAGAGTCGGGTCAAGACAGTATTAAGTCTAAAATTTGAAAAATCCGAACTTTCAGTGTATGTGAGTATGAATGAATGAATGAATATTTTTATAAGGTCTTCATATTTTCAAAAGTTTTCATATACCCTTGACTGCGCTTTTAAAGCTTGTAAAGGGAATGGAAAATTTATATTAGAAACGAAACTAAAGGATTGAATGATTAAATAATGAACAACAATAAAATTCGTTTTGAAACAAAAAAAACTATTGTACTTAGTTGAATTAAATTAAAAGTCTTTAAAATTGAAATTTTATTAATTGATACGAAGCTTATGCGAATTTATTCTCGCCTAAGGGATGTAATTATAAAATCTTTTATAATTAAAATTATTCAAAACAGTTAATTCAAATGGAATCTATTTATTCAAAAAATATTTTCGACACAAATGAAATCATAGACATAGCATATAGATTCGATCTGGTAATCTGATCATTCGCGCGTTAGAATAATAGTATAATAAAAGTAAACACTAATGAATAATTATTTGTCTGTCATTTGCATGTAAACAGAAACGTACGCTAGCAAAACAAATAAAAGTGAAACCAATTAAATGATTTACTTATACAGTGCTTTCTAGTTAAAAGCTTCGACTTGAATGGAATATGGTATCGATTGAATCAAAACTTTTTAAAAATGTCTTTCTTAATTACTTCTTATAGAGAGACACATTTCTGGTAAGAGATGGGAGTTAATTCAAAGAATCATTTCGTTCCTTCATATCAGTATCAGTATCATACACCCTTGCAGTTGCAGAAATGTAAATAGCGGACCAGAGGCTAAACTACCACATAGCAGTGGAGATAAGAGTCGTGACTATTAAGTTGGTGTTCTCGCCTTCAAATCTCAACAGGTCGTAATCATGTTGGATCCTCTGTCGGCAAAAGCATACCATTCGCCCTTTGAGTACACATCCACTAAGGTGCAACCATTCCCTATCCCTTCCCGTCTTTCCTGATTTCTTTCTCACCATCCTTGTGTTGCACGCTCAGTGGCCAACCCTTGGTAATATAAATAAATTTCCTCATAATATTTATACATGTGAAAGGCGAAGACTTCTAAGGCGGATTGACCAAAAAATCTAAAATATTTTAATAGTAGCGACCGCTTCTTACATGGAATTGGCTTTAAATAGAGGCGCAAATAATTAGTGAGCTGCTCGAAATAGAAAACAGCAGGCCACTAAGCTAAGCCGGTAAATGTAGGCTTGGATTCCATCGGGTGCAAAGCACTTGAGAACTAGCTCGTGGTTTTCGCTCTCAACGAAAGTAAGCTCATATTTTAAACTCTATTTCAACATTTTTTTAATTTACTAGCATGGATAAGGAAAATATGAGTTTTCAATTAAGATTTCGCTGCCTTATGAAAAGACTTGAGGATCCAAGACCGAAAATCTCGCTCGATTCGATCGCTTGAGAAGATATTACGGAGACTTTGAAACAAAAATTAATACATGTAATAGACGGACAAACAAGTTCCCGGTATTGAAATTGATCGCTTTATAGAACCTATTTGCCGTATAGATAACTTTGACATTGGTGGTATTACGGTACAATACGATTTCAGTTTTTTACAAATTATCGTTCAGTGTATATTAAAGCGCAAGTAGACGGATGTTGTAAACGGCACTGCATTTTATTCTATTTTAAGCTGAAAAAAAGTGTCGGAAATCATTAAGTTGACTGGGAGTGAAAATGCAGGGAACTATGAAAGAGTAAGAAAGTCATTTATGAGATTCGGTGGAAACAATGTTAATCCTGAAAACGAAGAAATTTCGCTTACGTCCATACGTCTCCAGGAAATGCTGTCCAGGGAGTGATTTTTAACTTAGGCTGGGAAGTTTTACCTCACCTCGCGGTATCCAGTACACTTTTACCACGAGACAATTACCACTTATTCAGATCGATGCAGTCATCTTTAGCAGGTCAGCAATTCGGAGAAGCTCACCAAGCATGAAAATGGGTCGATGGCTGTGCCGCCAAGCCATCCGATAAGCGGCAAAAGCTCATAAGTAGTGGCAGTGCATATTTCGATTATTAAACTTTGCAACAAGTGTTTTTTAATTAAATTGAAATTTTATCACAAATATACAGAGACTTTATTTCTGCATCCAATATATAACAATAAAATAACTGTTATTTTCATCAATTATGTCAATACATATCAAAAAAGTTAAGTGCTTGGATCCTTTTAATTGTTTAAAAGCAATAATAATAAGTTAAGTTAGGTTGAGAATGCTTCTCACAGCATTTGCTCTATTTACCTCCAGCTTTTTTAACACAACTTGCTATACTTTGTTGCAAACCTTTAATTGCTATCCATTTCCAATATTTTTCAAAAGTTTTGCATTATAATACGATCCGTCATTTTTTACAAAATAATCCCACAGATAAAAAAAAAGTGTTTCGTTAACCCAATTAGTTACACTGTAAAGCAGAAAATGATGATAACATTAATGATACGAAAGTCAGCTAACGACAGATTACTGTACGTATGAATTATGCCAAATATAAATTTACTTTTAAAATTCTGAAAGCAATCTTTGCCAGCATAGTCTGCTTAGAAATTTATCTCATTACGAATCAACATCGAATAGTTTTAATGACTCTTTTTAATTAAAAGAATTAAATAATATTTGTTTTTTTCCTTTAAAAGTGTATTCGTAAAACAGCTTTTCTTAAATATTATTAACACGTAAAGCGCACTGGAATAATTTTGTGAATTCACAGATACTTAAACATTTGTTCTAAAACAATCTGCAAACATAGTCGAAAGCCAAATAAATCCTATCTGTACCATCTATGAATAAAGGGTCCTTTTTCTGAGCTCACTTGAACCAACACTTTATAAAATCGAAAATCTCGACAGCGGCATACACACCACCATTAAATTCACCACCCCGCAGCTACGCATATAACGACTTTTCAAAACTATGCATTATACAGTGAGTGATCGAAAAAGCACTTCGATGCGAACCATTTTCAATAGCATTCGTCCTTGAATCAAAACATGTCGACATACTAAGTTCCATCGAAATATTTCAAAAATAGTAATGTATTGGTTAAGCACAAGAATATAAGACGGACAGACAGACAGGCATGCGTCGATTCAGAAACTAATTATGAATTGATTGGTAGAGTGAAAGCTGAATCTAACTCAAGTCCTTGCATACATCCGCACACACTACGACCTTACTCTCTACGAGAAAACTTAAATTGCAAAATATATTAAAAAAAAACTCAAAGCTGGATTTAATCCTTCTACGTTGCCCGGTCTCCTTCGTTCCTAACTACCTCGAGCAGTTGCGATCTCAGGCGGCATTGAGAGGATATGAAAGAGATACATACAAAAACTTAGAATTATTTATAGCTATAGAATCATTACTAAGTCGATATTCTACTGACCTAACCCTCCTCCCATTTTTTAGTATTCATCGTGGAATGTTGGAATAATTTTTAACTGCAAACTAATTGCGAATCAAGAAATTAAAGAATTGTTCCCTCTTTATTTAAGATTTATTTAAATTTTTTATTATTTTTATTAATTTTACGTTTCATTACCCGAATCTCCATCGGGGCAATGATATTTATGCTTGCCCGTCATGATTAAAATGAATTCTTTTTTATTTTTATTTAGCAATTAAAGCTAAATTTCTGCTACATAAATAAAAAAATATTGTTCACTAAGTTTGGTTTTGGTTTGTTTTTTTTTTTTTATTGTAATTCTTATTAACTGTGCGCTCTCTTAAGTTACGAACATGTTACTCGTTCTTTAAACCGCATTTAACTGATGTCGCAGAGCAATATAATCGCAGCTTGATTCACTATTTTGTACAAAAATCAGTTCCTATGTGTGCAATCTAGTGCAGTGGTTTCATTTTGTGTAGCACGTTAATCTTTCTTATAGACAAAGATAGCACTTAACAACTCACCTAAAAACGGGTTATAATTTATATGAATTTCATAAATGCAAGTTAAAAAGAGTGAGAGGGAGTGAGAGAGAGTGAGAGAGAGAGAGAGAGAGAGAGAGAGAACTCATCGACCTTCAGAGTAATGTTTTTATGTCTACTAGCGATTATCCAATTTCCTAAATTAATTTCCTAAATTAATTTCCTAAACCTACCTGACCTATTTATGATGATGTGATTTTTAAAACACATATTGTAAACTCTACCGCACTTGAGATTTGACCCTCGGTCATTGAGTTGCAAGTCGAGAGCCTTACCCTACTCGGCCACTTAGACGCATTATTCATATCGTATAAGATTTAAAAAATATTTCAATTATGTCGTCAACAAAACAACAAAAAAGAACTATATCCGCATCAGGAGGCATCTTAGATGCTCACTATACAATTATCCTGTTAATTGCAGAAGAATTAAGAGTGTGTAATAGTAAGTAGGAGATTAAAATTCCTTATCCAATAGATGTAACGATGAGTAAGTTAATCATCTTTGCAATACAATAGACATGCGTACTATTTTATTACATACATATGAAGTTTCCGAAATTCATTTGCAAGTTTCCGAGTTTACCTTAACATAACTTTATTAATACATATCTATATGCTTCGAGAAATTGCTTCCAAAATGTTCCCTTGGATACAAGTATAGGCAGCAATGAAAAATCATGTTTGAAATCAGCAAAGATGAGAGCAATTCTTGGTTTGACATGATTTTTTTAATAATAATTGTGTTAAGCAAAATATTTCTTAAAAGGTTTTACTTTTGCTTCTTTTATATATGACCAGCCGCACAGAAGATGTCTCCTTTACACTCTGCGGTCAGGGCGAGTTTAGATAGAGAGGATGAGGGACATGGACAGATGTACGTAAACTAAAGTATACCAGATGTTTGGCGATTTTTCAAATTTCGCGGGAAAGAGCTTAAGGCCATGCCAAAAAGCTCATATCAGAAGTGCTTCGATGATTGGAGAAAACGCTGGCACAAGTGTACTGTCTGCAGAAGGAACAATATATGTATTGATCAATAAATAAATATTATCCGAGAACACACCTCGCACATCAACTAAAATTTGTAAAATAAAAGAAAGGAGTCAACGACTGTAGTAAGGTTTAAGGAAATCAAATTGTTTCTGCCGAGAACGTCTCTGCAGCACAAAAGAGATATACCTGTCAGGGATTGCCTTGTGATTTTTTTCTTGGTTATTTTTATCAGTTTAAGTGATCTCTTAAGAAATATCTCAAGAGTGATATATAAAATTTTAAATGCCTCAAGAATTGGATTTTTCGAAGATACGCGTAGAGAATCGTATTATAAGTATTATAGGCATTGTAAATGTACGAGTTAGCTTAGGTTCGGCTGTTGTGGTATGAACAGTGACATTAACTACTTAGCTTGATTTATACAATCATTGATAAAAGAAATTTTAAATACAATCGCATGCTACATATAGAGCAATTTACGAGTGAAACAAACATTTTTTCACAGTTGAGACTTGAAACTATATTACTCGAGATTGACGTCCCGTTAAATTTCATTCGATGACTTAACAAGCTACCTGCTACTTCAAAAAAAGTCCTGGGATTCTTTCGACACATTAAAGTTCTCGTTCCATATGCAGACAATTTTTGAGAGATTTTTTCCAAGAAAAATACATTTCAAATCGATGCGAGTTTGCTTTTTTTTTACTCAATCCTTCAAAAATATCCCATGATACTTATGAGACTCTTAGTTATATTTCTAGCTGAAAACTTGCGATCCTTATAAGAAATTAATGGAGGTAAAAAAAAGATTATATTTCAATCATTTTGTTTATAAAAATATGCAAGAAACCTTGTACTCTCTTATGCCGATACCCAATTATTAATCTATGTTTTTTTTTGTAAAGAATTTAACAAAATGATCACGTATGCGAGAGATCTTAGAATATCATGGAATATTTTAAGCACGAAAGAAGTTGCATTCCCTGCGAATTTTCAATGCAAACGAGATCACAAATGAATTGAAAATGATTTTGACATCGAGTCATGTAAAGAAACAGCAGCATACATAGATTTGGCACTAGCCATGGATGTCACATAAAATTACACCCATTAAAGTAAAATAGTTTTTTTAATTATCCTCTGGGTACCTTTAACTGAATAGAATAAACAACCTTCAAAACATCATAGGCGGTTAAAAGAATCGATTCAATTTAAAAGCTTTTATTGATTGAAAAATTATATAGTTTACGGAAAATTATACACTTTGACGGATGTTTTTATACCCACCACTATAAGATGGTGGTATATCCACTTTGTCCTTTTCCAAAGTATACGTAACCCCCAAAAGGAAGGAAGCTTCAGAAGCGCTATAAAGTATATATATTCTTGATCAGCGTGAAATTCTGAATTGATTTAGCCATGTCCGTCCGTTTGTCTGCTTTTGGCACTCTCCTGTCGACTCCAACTTTGGCAGAAGTTTCTGAGTTTGTTATTGAAAATGGGCCAAATTGGTCTGAGCAAAAGCGCGCAATGAAGCGTAACCTGAACGCAATTTACTTTTTTTAACAAAAAATGTTAGATTTTTGGCTTTTATTTGGAAGTTATCAAAGCTAGAAGCCTGACACTGTCCACATTTCCTTAACGAGAGACTTTACTCTGTAGATCCAAAAATGGAACCAATCGGGCGTGTCCACATAAAGTTATGAGTGATTAAATTTAATTTCTTTCACTTTTTTGACGCTTAATAAGACGAAACGTTTAAAACTATTTTCTAGAATCCTCAAATGAAGATGTATTATCTGCCTAAAAGCATAGCTGTAGGTATGCGAGGTTCGGGTTCCTTCCGAATATACCTTTCTTAATTGTCACACCTGGCTTCGACATAACTTGAAATAAATAGTATGTGAAAATCTATCAGTTTCGTAAGAAGAATTTTCATCCGCGCTCAGTCAAAATACAAAATGCAAATTTAAATTCGGGTTAAAGTGAGATAATATTTCTCGATTTTTTATAACTATTTTGAATGGCTCGAATTATTTGCACCTAATGCATAGCATGATTCATGGCACTTGGAGCTCACACAGAATTATGATATTTTCCTTTTTTATCTCGTCTCTCGTCGAAGCTAGTTACGTAAAAAAAAGGAAGCCACATAAGGTATTAAAAGAATTTGCAACGGATATCATTGAGCGATTGTGTTACTTAAAACTTTAGAGCAGGATAAGTATTCCAGCCAAATAACTGTGTCAATTAAATATTTAAACACAATTTTCGTTTTTTTTTTTTGACTTTTGTATAAATATAAAATTGCATGGAGTGCCACAAAGAGAAGCAGAACGTGTGCTACAATAGGTTTTTTGTTTCTTTTGTATCAGAAACATTTTTAAACTCTTCATCAGCATCAGATTCTAAATTGATTATAGATATATTGTCAAACTCTGACCACTCTGTCAGTTGTGTGAAATTCTCGCGAAAGTTGAGGTAGCAGACTTGGCTTTGTCTCCTTTCCGCTTGAAATCAAATATTAAAAGGCAGTTAATAAGTTAAAGGAATGAATAATTTTAAAAATGAAAATTAAAAAAATTTTCATTTACAAAAGATTCCCATGTAAAATTTGTTTCATATAATTATGATGGACCTTCAAAAGATTGCAAGAAATGTCCACAATTAAAAACACAACAGTTCCAAGTTTTATATATTTGCTTAAACTGAATGATGATGTCTCGAAAGTTTGCCTTAATATGCCGTAGAAAGAGTTATGATACAACTTTGGACCATAAATAGTCAATGTTATATGTTTTTGCATGAAAATCTATTCAGTTTCTTCTTATTTTTTACCCTACGCCAATTGTGATGATACAACAGTGCACCATCTTTTGAGCGAGTGTGAGCATCACACAGAGACAGACCTACATTTCATTATACCGATCGACTCAGAGTCTGTCCGTCTGTCCATCTTGTATTTTGATGAAATTTCGTACTTTTATTTATTGTATCAATCAATTCAGAATCGTTTCTGAATCAGTTTCCGAATCTCTTTTTAAGCTTGTAAGTAAGACTGACATAGTTGCTTGGATTCAATCTATAGGTCGTCATTTTTTAAATATTTTGATAACATTTTATATACCGATGTGTTTTGACTTAAAGACGAGCGCTATTGAAAGCAGTTCAGATCGGACCACTTTTACGACGACTTCTCATATAACAGCTTATTTCGAAAAGTGATTTATATGAATAATTGTAAGATGATGTAGAGTATTTAATGGTGGGACGTGACCCACTATAGTGTTTTTAATTATTTATTGCTTTATTTATGTAAATATTCTTTTTTCTTTCTTTCCGTTTTGGTCGATTCTTGGCTTTTTTTGTTATTACCTTGAAATACCTTTTTCCAATAAAAATTATATACACAACACTATGCCCAAATCATTCTCGAACAATGTCCACTAGCTCCGCTTATATACATATGTATATATATATATATGTATATATATATATATATATATATATATATATATGTACACACGTACAAACACAAACACAATTATGTAACCTCTTTAAATTTAAACTTTAATAACTTAAACTTATTGTTAACACTAAAAAAATAACCGAAAACAATTAATGCAATGAAAGCTATTTTAAGAAAAGAAAAACATAGAAAAAGAAAATATAATTTTTATATTATTCAAAAACAAAAATTGGTTTATTTTTTATTTATTTATTTTATTTCTTTTTTAATTTTAACACCACACTTTTTTTTCCTTAGTTAAGTGTTTAGTTTTGTTTAAGAACTAGAGACGAACAAGTTTTGAAAAGTAAGTTAACGTGGAAACGAATGCTTGATGTT